GAAAGTGGAGTGGTAAAGCACTTTCTTTGCAAAAAAGTGCAAGAAAGTGAAGGGAGGAAAAGTGGAGGGGTAAAGCAGGAATCATCAAAGCACTTTGGTGATTCCTTCTTTCCCTGTCCACTTTCTTGCGAATAAAGAAATTTTGAGTTAGAAAAGTGGAGGGGCGTCTTATACATGGAAAAATATGGTAACCGAAAAAGACTTATTGCAACCTCTAATGGTCATTTTAAAAAAAACAGCTTGGAGGTGGGGGTGCCTAAATGAGGTGCAGAGGGCCCTCAAAAACATGGCAAAATTGCCCTCAAAGCAGTTTTTAAAAACCTCCTACATTTAGAGTTTGCATTTGAATTTTATGCGGCCAAATGTCATTCACCCACTACTCAACAGAGATAGAAAAGAGAGGCATAGGGGCAACACTCATACAGATGAACTCTGAATGTCGGTGCATGCTCTTTCAGACTGTCTATTGTGCCCAAATCCCTGGTCTAAACCTTCCCAGTTGATCAACAGCATCCGAGAAGCTAAGCCATCTCTGCAGTTTTAGCAAAATGAAGCAGCCACCCTGGCAGATACTGGATGTCATTAAAAGGCAGTAAGTTGCTATTCAATTTGTGGTAACTGCATTTTTTACAGTGACACATGGGGAGAGGTACTTCCGGGATTTTCTAGTTTGTGTTAGTAGGTACTTTCCTAGTTCTCAACACTTATGCACCTTGATGGGGGAGGTGAGTGACATTTCCTCTTCTGCTTCTGGCAGAAAAATATTACAGAACAGCCCTAGTTCATCCAGTTGACATTCAGACAGGCCCCAGTGTCTATAGAGGCCCATTGTGACTTCGGAAAGGGACTAGTGACTTTAGATCAGTATATTTTCTTCTTTATTTGTATCAGAGATGTCTATGAAATACAGGTAGAATTAAAAACAAATTAAAATGTTGATGATTAGACTATTTTGACCAGAAGTGGGCTACTTCAATTGCATTATCTCAATCATTATTTTGTACAGTTCAACATATACAACCCATCTAGAAAACAAAAGACCAAGTTTTACTTTCATTTCTTCTTCTAGTAAGCAAAAACCTAGCCTTTTGCTTTCTAAACTACTGTATAGGAATAAATGGGAATAAATATTAATAAATAATATTAATAACTATTATTACAGATATTCAAAACTATCAAATTTGGACTTGGATATGTTAGAACTATCAGGATATGGCATTATTCAGTGAATTGCAAATATTTCTGTATCCAAATAAATATCACTACTTAGAATACTAAAGATTTATACTGTAATATATATGGATACAAGCAGCCAACCTTTTACTGTATGATGAAAAAAACCCAATAATGACATGCACATAGATTACACATGTACTCACAGTGAACTCAAGTGTAAAAGATCTTGCATTATTCTCATTAAAATTATATTCAGTGCATTATTTACCGTAGGTGTCAAAATAATGGTAAAAGACTAATTTTGCTAAATCAAGTTAAAAGCCCAATGTTGGCTTTTTAAAACTTGTGTGACATTGTCATATTTAAGGTTCATAAGCCACCTGAATATGGAAAATACAGAGTTTTATACATGCAAAGACCATGAACTGCATTCTGAAAACATGATTAAAATTTAAATGTTACTAATGCCCAGGATACTACATAAGGAGTATTTTCAGAAACTGGGGTGATGGTGGCAGTACAGAATGAAGTAATCAAGAACGGCAAGACAGAACGTTCTAAGATGATAAAGATAATTAGTGAAATTGTCACATCCATTATGTTGTGTGTGCATGCTAGAAAACCTTTAAAATGCTCTTTTATTTTGATATGTAGCTCCCAAGTTACTGACTAGGTCTCTGCCTTATTAGACTAAGCAAATCTCTAATATCTATTCATCTCAGATCTGTGCTAGATCTCAACAGACAAAAATATGTCATGTTTAACAATCACAGTGACTTTTAGAATCATCAGGAGAATATTTAGACCTGCAGGGCCCCAGCTTTACATGTTTAACGTAAGTTCATCAACATCCCTCACCTGTGACCAATACAGAAAAGGAGCACACTGTACAAAACCTCTTGTAGTTTAATTAAGGTCCAGTCTGAAGCAGTAGCTTTTCACTAAGCAGTAAGCTGGAGAAAATACACATATTTATTCAAAGCTACAGCCTGTGAACTAGAGGCTTGTAACTCATAACTCAGTTATTACTTAGCAAATACATTCAACAGATCTTACTAGTTTGGAATGTGTGGTTGGGGATAAGTACCATTCACTTAGCATACAGATTCTAGCCAAAAAGAGGAGAAAAGAAAATGAATGTACTGTAGAAGGAAGAAGGCAGAACAGCAGAAGAAAAATGCTGGCATTGTTGGGAAAATAGTAGAAGAAAAGTGATACAGTATAAGCAACATCCAGTACTGAAGACGGAATCAGGACTGCATGTGGCCAGACTAATTCTTAACAGGCTTAGAGGAATAAGTGAGCAACGAAAGTAATTAGGTCCTTTCATGTATTTTCAAACATTCTCCACAATTGATAGCTCCCATTCCAGGAAAGAGCAGTTGATTCTGCAACTGTCAGTTCAACACACAGAAGGGAGCATAAATAGCCCCACCAAAAGGTTAGGAGTTACTTTTCTGGAAAACTCCAAGGTTCTCGAACCAACATTATGGAAAACCTAGGAGGTTATGGGAGTTAGATTAGGCAGTGGTTCCCAACCTTGGGTCCCCAGAGGTTCTTGGACTACAACTCCCAGAAGTCTCCACCATCACCTGTGCTGGCCAGGATTGCTGGGACATTTAGTCCAAAAACATTTGGGGACCCAAGGTTGGGAACCACTGGATTAAAGGCATGTCCTATTCAAGATCAGTGGAGCATCTCCATCCATGCTTTCTCCTTCTTCATGATCTCCATTGCCAAGAAAAGATTGTTTCTTTTTGGCACATTTCATTCACAAATGATTCAGTGGGTAAAAAGATATACAGTAATATGATGTTAGTAACCAGAACCTCTAATAAAAATGGAACAACAATTCTTTATTATATATTCTCAAGATTATGAAGGCATTCTGGGTTTATCTGATCACTGCTGATTGTTAGTTGAACATCCAGCATACTACTACATAACCAATAGGATTTCTCTAAGTTGAGCACTTTTATGTAAATACTATTTAAGAGTCTTGTGGCACCTGAAAGGCAAAACATGTTTTATTTGGCATTATGTTTTTGCAAACTGTAACAAACTGTAGTTCACAAATGTATGTCAAATGAAATTTGTTAGCTTTTAAGGTGCTGCCACCGTGGTTTCTGTTGCAGAAGACTATTATGGCTAGCCTGCTAGAAATATCTTCCATACAGGCTTCTATATATGTAAATATATTGTCACTGTTCTTTTACTGAATTTGGCTTGACATAGCAAGACCTCATCCAAACCAGCTGGATATTTTTAAAGGTTGATTGCAGTAAAACTGAACTATGACAATAGACACATATCAGCTTTTAATAACTAAAGATCTGAGATCAAGATGGTTTTGATCTTGGTAAACATTTGTGAGTCCAGCCTTGTTGATAAATTTACTAAATAAAGCCTGACAAGCAAGCAGGAATAATTTACAGAAGTCATCAATTTTTACAAATTCATTCTATAAATGCAGGAATTGGAGTGTTATTTATCTGAAGCACATATTATAGTTCTCATTAAACAATATCCTACTTTCAAACTATAGTTCTATAAAACCAGATTTTACTTGATATTTTTCTTACTGTCTTTTTCAGTGTTCAACTAGGACTTACTTAAATTTGATTGTTGATTGATTGATTGATTGAATGGATCTATCTATCTATCTATCTATCTATCTATCTATCTATCTATCTATCTATCTATCTATCTATCTATCTATCTATCTATCTATCTATCTATCTTCTATCTATCTATCTATCTATCTATCTATCTATCTATCTATCTATCTATCTATCTATCTAATATTTGCTAACAAACTACCATGGAAAGTACTATTAACTTGCAATTTTTTAAAATCTTTGTGTTAAGACATTTGAATTGTGAGGTATTTCTTACTGCAAAGAACAAATCCTTTAAAAAGTATATATACATATAACACAGAACCTCCTGTAATTATAGTGAAACAAAATCCTTAAAATTCTGAGGAGTCTCTCAAATCCTAAACAAAACAAAACAAAACAAATCTAATTGAAACAGTATGAACAGTAACGCAGCAAGATATGTACTTCCAGGAGTCAACATTTCTGGTTTTTGACATTCATTTTAATCTGCTGAAATTTGCTGGCTTATCCCCAACCCTCGACATTATAATGACCTCAGTATAACCACACTCTCCTTGGGTGGTAGGCCTATCATCCTTCACAACCTCTCCAACAGACAACTCTGGTTTTCTACATTTCCATTGATTGAGAGTATAATTCTTTCAGCCTCTAACTATAATTGCGGTACAACAATGAATACAAACCTAGAATGTATGGAATGAATGCCATTATTTCTCCCACATCCTTCTCAGAGATAGAACAGAGAGTAAATAGGATACACAGTGGCCATGCTAGCTGAGAGATGTGAAAACAAACAAAACAAATATCCTCTGATGATCTCAAGCTCTGGCTTCTTTACATTGTTCTTTAGGGGAACCTGCTGCTAAACCCTTCCAATATATATATATATTTATTTACAATTTTTTATTTGCTTTTTGTTTACTCCTCCCCACAGGGCACTATTTCTTAGCCTCTCACATAAGAAAACTTTATACCACAGAGGACATTAATACCTATCTGTGATTAATGGCCCTAAGTCCAGTTAGGAGCTGTATGGTTCTTTTACTCAAGTTTTCCTTCGCATGAACTCTTAGGTACAAAGGCTGAATCATTCTGAATGAATGGTATGGGAGTCTCCATTTCACAAAGACATAAAACAATTTTATCTGTCAAGGGACTTTCGGACTGAACATGACCTGAAAGAACCTCATTTATTTGTATTTATCTTGCAGTCTTTTAAACAGAAAGACACTAACAATTTTACCTCTGCTAAAGCAAAATGTGTGCAAGATGCTATACTGCATTTCTCTACCTTATACTGTACCATTTTAGTCTGATACCACTGCAGACCCAATTCCCTTCCTCTTAAATTGGGACAATATCCATTCTTCTGTTTGTAATCCTGTTTTCACACAGAAGTTTCCACAGAACTCCCCTTGTTCGGTCAGTGTTTTTCCTCTCCCCAGCACTGCCTCCATCTTATCTCTTGTATTTGTTATCATTTGTTCCATAATCAAGTGCCTATTTATTTAAATGTTCCCTTTCTACAGTGAGATCATACACTTTTTCCAGTCCATTTCAATTTCTTCATTCCTGATAAGATTCTCTTGAAATGCAGCCACACAACTGAGCCAAAGATAGGTATCTTGAAAAGCAATGCGTTCTATTTTTAAGGATGAAGAAATCCAGAAGAATCAGCAATTGGGGCAGGCAATAAATCCCCAGATTTCACAAAACGCAGCTCACAAGGGTAGTTCAAAGCACTTATGGAGTTTTAAAAAAAATCTGGCACCCCATGTCTTTTTGAGCCTTTATAGCAGGCTCTTAAGAAATCTGGCATCCTGTATCTTTCTGAGGCTTTATATCTGGCTCCTTCATAGGTTTCACGTCTTCCTCTGGTTTTGGTTTAGCCTGTATATTATAAAATGAGAAAAGCAAAAAGGCAACATTACCTTACTATGACAGAAAAGTTTTGATCTCTTTAGGATATCTCTTTTAACATTATGGCTTTCCCAATTCAGAGGCTGTCACTCAAGTTTTTGTTTGCAAGCACATTAGAAAGAGTGTGGAAACTACTGTAAATTTAGACCACCAATGATTAAAAGGCAAACAGGCAGACAGACCTGATAATAGCTAAACCCATTTCGAACAGTTCACAACACAGAGCAGCCTTTCATGTAGAGAACTTTCAAGAAGAAAGAAAGATACCCAGCCGCAAAGTCTTCTTAATGTTATAGTTATATGCTGTCTTTCACACACACTCACACACAAACACATGGCATCACCAATATTTCTCTGCTATTGAGCAAACATTGCTAATAGAGAGGCAGATAATCACAGGTGATTCTGGAGGAGAAAGCAGAGAGAATGATTGGTCTTACACTGTCCTCCTTTGGCCTTTTCGTGAGATCAAATGCAGCAAGAGATTCTGGAGTCCAGTGGGCATGTATGGCAGGGAACTCAAAAGGAATAGGCTCAACTAGGCCATAGTTTGCCTTCAACTCTAGCTGAGGGGCTTCTGGGGGAATCTTCTGGAAATAACTAAAAGAAAACCATGCTAAGTGTTAGCAATCTCCTAGTTCTTCAAGTGGAGATTTTAGACAGTTGGGGTGAATGATACATCTTGCAAAAATTTTAATGGCATGCTGCTCACAACTTGCACAAACTAAGGCTCCAAGATTAGGTGTTTAGAAAGTCCTCATTGATTTAAATGGAAATGTCCCATCCTAGAACTACATTTTTGTCTTCCCAGTACTGGAGGAATCTCATTCCGATTCTATTATATACCTATATCTATAAATAGACTGCTACATATAGTACTGTTTCAGTTACATTGCTATAACCTCTACTGATACTAGGAAACTGCATATGCTATATCACACTTACTAAAAAAGGGGAATGTCGACTTGCCTTGGTTTTCTTTAATATAATAAGCAAACTAGAGAGGAAAGCAGAGCACTACTAGGGCTAGAAAGGAGCCAGGGCTAACATACCAGCACTCAATGTGAGACAAATGTGTTTCTGGAAACTATACAGTGGTGCCTCGCTTAACGATTGCCTCATTAAACGCCAAAGCCGCTTGACGATGAAGTTTTTGCGATCGCAACACGATGTTTCGCTAGGGAAATTTTGCTTAACGATGATTGGTTTCCTGCTCCGGGAACCGATTTAGAAACAGCTGATTGGCGGTTCTAAAATGGCCGCCCGCTGTGCAAAATGGCTCCCCACTGTGTTTTCAGGACAGATTCCCCGCTTTACAGGCAGTGAAAATGGCCGCTCCTATGGAGGATCTTCGCTGGACGGTGAGTTTTCAGCCATTAGCACGCATTGAACCGGTTTCAATGCATTTCAATGGGCTTTTTCGTTTCACAAGACGATGTTTTCGTAAGACAGCGATTTTCGTGGAATGAATTAACATTGTCTTGCGAGGCACCACTGTACTTCAGTTGATATAGCCTAGTATTGCATTTGTTATTGTCTTTGCTGCTGCATTACACTGTTGACTCATATTTATCGTATTTGCTGGCATATAAGACGACTGGGTGTATTAAGACGACCCCCCAACATTTCCACTCAAAATATAGAGTGGTGAGGGGAAGCGGCCGGACAGGCGGCAGCGGAGGAGGAAGGGAAGCGGCTCTCCAGCGACGGACTCTGGCCGCTCAAGCATGGCCGGCTCTGCTTCCCTCCCTCCGTACTGACCGCCTGCCTTCCTTCCTTCCTCCTCGACTGGCGCGGCCCCGCATCACTCGCTCAACGGCGGCTCCTTCCTGGCTCAACTGAAGTGCATCTGGCGTATAAGACGACCCCCCCAATTAGGAGGCATGTTTTTGGGCCAAAAAAAGTCGTCTTATACGCCGGCAAATATGCTAGCCCGCAGTCTACACTCCTAGATTCTTTGGACATGTACTACTGCTAAATCAGCTGTCATCCATTCTACATTTAGGCATCTGATTTTTCCTGTCAAAATGAAGAATATTACATTTTTTCTTGATGAAACTCATTTTGTTTGCTCTGGTCCACTTCTCCAACCAGCTAAGGTCATCTTAAAACCTGATCCTATTTTCTTATGAAGGCTGGGCTTAATTTGCAAAATTTGAAGAGCAAGCCTTCAAAAGCCTACTCCAAGCCATTTATATAGATGCTGAACAAAAGTGAGCCTAGGACAGACCTCTGCCATACTCGACTAGTCACTTTTCTCCAAGATGAAAAGGCAAGTACTCTTTGGGCAAGGCCTTTCAACCAACTACAAATCCACCTAACATTAGTGTAATCGAGCCCATATTTCACTAACTTAGCTACAGGAAATCTAATCCCCAGCCTCATAGGAAATGGGATCACTGGACCATCTAGCCAGGTACAGTTTTCTAGGTTTTCAGGAGGAATTCTTTCTTAGTTCTACCTGGAGGTCTCAGGTATTCCCTGGTAGGCTCTAGTTCAAGTACTGCTCAGACCCAATCCTGTTTAGCTTCTGAAATCATATGTACTCCAGTGTGCTGAGAGTTGTACAATGTGTTCAAGAGGTTTCATAAAGACCTTTCCCCATGTTTCTTTATTTTTAATAAGAAAATAACTGATAACTCAAGATGTTCAACATATGCCCATTGAGTCAATTTTCATGGATTATATCTACAGAATTAGGATGCTTGCATTTATATATCCAAAACTGCTGGACAGCTCAGTTTAGATATCTGGTTGCAGAGCTAGAAGTTGGGGGTTCGATTCCTCATTGAGCCTCCTTGACAGGGGCTAGACTCACAAGGTCCCTTCCAGTTGTGCAATTATAAGATTATTATTACATTTTCTCACACCTGGGTATTTTTAAATATTCCTCTGATCCATGAGAAACTACTGATCTACAAATGCTTTCCTGGTAGAATGGAGAGAAGGTCATAATAGCTCATCCTCCCCACTTCAGTCATCAAAGCCATCTCCAGCCAAATCTGATAGGACGACTGGGAGATGTACTGTTACATCAAAAGTAGCAAGCAAAGCCATTTCACTATTTGAAGAAACTATTAAACAGGCAAAATATACTTACATGAATCCATTTTCTCGCTGGCATTTGTCTAAGGTATTTTTTACCAGTGTTCCTAATTTTCTGAAGAAAAGGTGGCCAGAAGGTTTAGCTGTAGTCCCAGGCCCTTTGGTTTCACCATATTCCTTACACAATGCTTCTGCCTTCGCAAAAACTTTATAA